CCAACTGAAAGCATACTTGTGGAATACAGAACAGACACTTGAATCTTTAATCTTGAACCAAAATTACAAATCATATTTTTAATAAACTCATTAAAAAGAAAATCTTAATGCACTTACTTTAGCAGAACAGGAAAGATAGAAAGAAAATACCAAAGTAGGTTTTGGTAAGGTCTCTCATTGTAGATAACAGCCCTGTGTGTCAGGATAAGACCACAGTAAAGTAAGCCAAAACATTTCTTTCCCTTTTCATATGCAATCTTCACACACATGACTGCAGTTGATATTTTGCAGGGGCAAAATCCTCGGAAATTGTTAATTTTATTTAACATTTTGACATAGACCCGACATTCGGGTTCGATAGAATGTTTGGCCCTGATGATGGAACAAAAAGGAAGCAAAGGATGGTATTGCTCAGACTAACCCAGTCTTCAGAAGTACATTTCTTCCATTTTCCTCAGCAGCTCCTCTGTGTGGAAGTGGCAGAAGTGAGGAGACTGAATGAGTCTTCCATGGCACTGAATGAATTTAGGTTTCCTGGAATCAAGGAACTGGTTAGCCATTTTGGGTTACAAAGTGCTTCTGTTGGGTCTGAGTAAGGAAGCAGACAGCTGGCCTTCAATGTTTCCTTCCATTGGCTAACAGCATTTAAGAAGTAAAACTAACACATCATGTCTACTTCCATCATTCACACATCTTATAATTCAAGGTGTTGGTGCAATATTTAAGATATGCAACGAACTGATAAGCCATGGAATAGAAACCATTATAAATTCCTCTGTTCATGGAATTAGATACGGCTGGCACAGCCCCCTTATTGAATAGCGTTCACCTCAAAGGGAAAAGAACATCATCTTAAATTTCGTGGGGGATTTCCTTCTGAGGACCGAAATACTGTAAGATCCAATATAAACTCATCAGTTGAGCACGGTTAAAGGATCTTACTCATCTCTGCAGGAACAGAAGCCAGAAAATTCCCACCACATATTCTACGTAAGGGAAGCAAACGAGTTAGTTTGGCTGTCTCAGTCAGGACTCCCAATGCCTTAGCAGCCTCTGAATAAACTCTAAATTACAACAAAAGAGATAAAATCTCCAGAACATGTGTTTTGGGGGTTTTGTTTTTAAAAAAGCACATTAAAAAAAACCTCCACAAACATTTAAACTTAGCATTTTGGAAGTCATGAGAGGAATCTACTTGTTTTCTTAGACTAGTTCTACACCAATGAACTTTAATAGGTATTTTTAAAATAGAGACAGAGTTGCCATTATCAGCTTTTGTCAAGCTCCAATGATAAATTTTTGAATTAAAAAACAATCACAAAATCTGTTCAACACTATGGCACAGTGTCACAAAGTACTTTTATAAATAGCAGTAATAGCTTATGCTGTTTCTTTTATGAAGAAAGCCAAGAATAGCAACAACCAAAACATACTGTGAATTCACAGAAATTCCTTATTCTGCAGAAAAAGCTGCAACCAAGGGAAGTTTCATGGAGAATAAGTATCCTTTGGCACGCCATGGAGTGCAGTTTTCTTCAGCCAAAAGGCTTTCACGTGTGCTTCGCTCCACTTCCCCATATGAAACTGGAGATGGGGATTCCTTTTAGTGTGCCTGTGGCGTAGACATGAAACCTTCTGGAACGGATCCTTACACCAGACATTTTCCTTTGTTGAGCTAAAATGAGCACTCAGGTGCCAATAAAATACTGCAGAAACTGTGTTAGAAGTATAAGCAAAATAAGTATATGCACTGGAAGTGAGAATGGCACCAAATTAATTGTTTGTTTGTTTTAGTGTCTTCCTAACAGAAGTGTTAATTCAGTGCCATTTACAGTAAAAATTATAATTCAAAAACATTTCTATATAAACCCTTCATTAGTGGTCATAAGACACTGAGCAGCTGAGTATAGATTAGGTTCTCAAGAATGAAATCACAACTGTTGTCTTCTAAAATAGGTTGAGAAGCCTCTGCAGTCTCTCCAAGTTTCATAAAAATTAATTTCTTCCTAAAACTGACTTCAAAATGCTTTTGGGGAAAAAAAAAAAAGTGTTATTACTTAACTTCTTAAACCTTGAAAACTAAGAAAGGGAAGGACTTTGCAAAAGGCAGCCAGCCAGCCAAATTGAGGAAAGAATGAGATCTCCCAAGGCGCAGCCTACTAGTTTTGACGATTAAACAAATGTTTTTGTCCACATCACGTTTTTATAGGAAAAAAATTAAAAAATAAAAGAAAAAATTACCTCTTGCTCAGTTTTTCTTCCCACTCAGAGTAAAATGCAAATGCAATAGGAAGTACGTGCCCATCTTTGGCTGACCTTATTTCACTGCAACCATTAAAATTTAGAGCTCTGTTCCCCCAACAGCTGTAGTCCCAAAAGAGGACACCACTTTGCAAAGATGACCAGATTGCTGATAATTTGCTAAAAGAATTTAAGTGAGGCATTTAAAACAAATAGAAGCTCAAATGGTCACTATTAAAATGTCAGAACTCCTTTGGTAAACACTGAAACTGTTGACATTTTAAATGTCAGCTATTTTATATTTCCACACTATAGAAGAAGCCCTTTATTATTTAAAAGGCACTGTCCATTTTTTTAAACTTCTTATTTGTGGAATTTCTTTTTAATTTTCATCGGTTCGTTCAACATTATGTGCAATTTGATTCCAGCATGTACGTCCCAAACATGGATTATTTCATTTTGCTTCTTATGGTACCCAGAACAAATCAAGGCTGAGCCTTCTTGGTGCCTTTTCTTACAGTGTCATCACTTACCTTCTTATTATCTAGAACACATCATTGTTACTGTGCAGAATTCCAGCTGTGCATGGCTAATGCCAAGCTGGCAGTAGTCTCACCATCAACTCCCAGTGCAGCGATGTTTCCAAAAGGATTAATTCCAAACTCAGCCTGTTGTCCTTGAGATCATTTTAATGGGAGAGACAGGGCAATGCTGACTATGCTTGAAAACTGCACTACTCTGAAGAAAGGGATTTGGAAAACACCAACACAGAGCTCTTGGGAATAGTACACAAATTAGTTCTTATGGTCCTAGGGTCTTAGGTCCAGTGCTGAGAACTGTTCTGCACAAGCAGCTTTCCTTGTATACATTCCATAGAATAGAAGGAAGTCCATAGGTCTCCAAGGAGAAGACTGCTCAAAACAAGCCACAGCAGCTTTACTATACTACTTTAATAAAAAACCTTTATTTAAAAAATAAATAGAGCTGGTAAAGAAGCTTCTTTTCTCTATGCCCTTGTTTACAGTCTTCATAGCCCACATTTTCAAGTACCTTAGAATACACTGAAAAGTGTGTGAGTGACTAGAGCTGGTCACTGCTAAAAACAAAATCAGATAATTCCTTTGATTTTAGTTGTCATCTCTGTAATCTCCCAAGTATGGAGTTCATATTCTAAAATTATTTAAACAGCTTAAAGTCTGGATTTTCTAAGAACTCTGCTACTGCAAGTCAGGAGGGACTTAATACTCCTCCCCTGTCCCAAGTAGCAATGGTTAATTCCCAAAGAGCTTTCTCTAGGGAGGTAACACAAGTGTGGATCTTATACCTTCTGTTAAATCTCTAAGGAAGTAGCACTGAACCTCTCTGAGGCCAACTGGTACCCATCAGAGAGAAACATACAGACATACAGGATTCTGGGACTATTTTGCACCTTTCTGTAGCCAAAATTTGAGCTTTGCTTAACTAGCAGAATCTAGGTAATAACTTTTGGTTGAAGTCAGGCAAGAGAACAGTATGCACATCTTCATTTTTCAGGGAGCTATCCTGCCCATGTGCAACAGGATCTCAATGGCCACCACCTCTGATCACCATGAAATGTCACAGTTCCAAATGAAATACAACACAAATCTCAAAAGGAGACCAGACATGCCCAGTCTGGCCACATTTGTTACTGGTCTAAAACAAGTGAAAGGTTATATTCTCAAGCTTACAGTGCTGGACAGGGACCAGAGCTGGGAAACCCTTTCAGATTTCATATCACCATCTCCCCTGTAGTCTTCAAATGACTATAAAAGGAGAGCTTTCCAGTAGGCCACTTTCCACATAGGAGCTTCCACCATGAGAGGACAGATTTTCAAGAGATGTTAAACATGATTAGATGCTGGCTCAAAATCCTTGGTTGTTGATCTGGATGCATAAAATTAAATATCATCTCCCTGCCAGGTCTGGTCTGGCATAATGCTTAATGTTGTAAACTTCAGATGTTCTCATTACGCATTTGTAGCTTTGCATAGCACAATGGAACTAAGATTTATTAGGGCTTTTAGCCCTAATAATACACAGAAAACTAAGAAAGATTCCAAATAAACTCCCTTTCCCCCCTTCAAGTGGCTCTTTTACTTCACTTACTGACAATACAACCCCAGGAGAGAGGTAACAGACAAAGGAGAACAAACACAAAAATATTTGCCTTTTTCTTTCAAAGCAGTAACCAGTGTCCCACTGTTTTCATAATCTTTGCTATGTCAAAGGCCATTTATGTTTAACTAATTAAAAATAAAGCCAAGAAAGAACAAACCAGCAGGGTAAAAGAAAATGAGAAAAATAAAATAGACTTGGGAAGTACAAACAAAATGGAGTAAATGTGAAAAAGGAAAGGGCTAACATGACTCAACAGCAGAACTCCCAGATGGTCTAGAGAGACATTTTTGGATATAAACGTATGAATGAAATCACATTAAACAAATATTACCCTTGACATTTTTCACTCATCATTTTACACCTTTTCCTGGAATTTTCAGAGCAGCTACACTTCAGTCTGCAGCCCAAGTCTGCAGTCAAATCTATCAGTACTTTGAAAAACACATTTGAATTTTTCTAGTTTTAAATTATACTCCTGGGGAGAGTAACTAATTGCCCATCCCATAAAATAATTTTATTATTTTTAATTTTTACTTTTTCTTGTTTTAATTTTATTTTTTTTAATTTTCATTTTTATTTATATTTTTATTGTATTTTATTTTTTTTAAATCACACCCTTCAGTGTTAACAAAATTGCAAACACAAAGATTAGAATGATTACTAGTCATTAAAGTATGTTTATCTACATACAAAAGGCTGCATGGGGTCCTCAAGCAAGCACAGCCCTTACCCTATGTAGTCAATCACAGTTTTGGGATTTTTCATATGGGTGCATCTCAAAATGACAAATGCTTGGTTCAGTATCTAGACAGATGTCCTGTGCTCTCGTAGCACTGCTCTCACAGAGGAATCCCTGTTGTTCTTGTGCAGGGCATGCCTCTACATCAGTCATTTGCCACTTACCTCCTTTTCTTAGGGCCCAAACTTAATGTCTCAAGGGTTTGAGTAACAGTTGTGATTTGCCCTTAAGGTAATAATTGGGTAGATCCCAATAATTTCAGGTTTTTGTACAGTTAGTATACAAAGGCTGTAGTGACCCTGGTAGTAGGAGCATAGGTCAAATTAACTAATTTCCACCACAATTGCAATTCTTGTGCAAATGGTGTTGTGTTTTGCCAAATAACTGCACGAATTTCAGTTGGTAAGATGTCGCCTTCACCTTCCCTAATGATCACTGCTATCACTGTTTGTATCCAAGCCTGAGCCTGAATACAACTCTGAGCCAAACAAACACTGGTCTGAGCTGTCCCTAGAGCTTCTGCAATTAACAGATGATATTTTCATAATCAGTTTCTTCCCATAGAGTAACGCTTCTGACATGAGTTGTTGACTAGCTCCTGGGGCTGAAAGGGAAGATTTTAGGGGACATTGTGGTTGTTTCAAACTGCTGGTCACTGTTTCTAATCTATTCACTAATATTTCAGAATCCATGCTGTTCAAAATCCCTAATCCCGATCCTAATGCTACAACTATATCTTTTCTTGTCCAATTCTTGAAGGTGAATGTACATTTGCATAGCCATACTGCACATTGAGTTTTAAGAAAAGGTGAACAGGATGGACCCCCAAGAACCAAAGAATCTCTCACAAAAATTTGGGTTTGCAGTTTTTAATTTCCTTGGGGGAGTGGAATAAGTATTTTACATCCTACTCATACTTTCTTTCCAAAAGCTTCAGCCAAAATGCTTTCATCATAGCGTCAGTTCTGCCAAACTTTTAAGGTCATTGGGTTCTTTGTAAGACTATAGCAGATGTATTATATGCAGCCATTTGTTGATGATCATCTATACACATGGTCTCTAGACGAGAGAACCCACAACATGCTTGGGACCACGGCCAGTCTAAGGCAAAAGTCTCAGTCAGAGTTATTATACTTATCAAAGTCTCAAAGATCAACGCTGGGAGAACTTGGTAGTAGTTGGTCTGACTTGTTCTGATGTCCAAGTATTCTCAGGTGCTTTCTTCACTTGTGAATAGTGAACCCAGGCAGGTTGCTCTTTGATCTTGATTGCAGTGAAGGTCGTCAGCAGCACCTGATAGAGTCCATTCCACTTCCCCTCCAAAGGTGGACCTGAAAAAGCTTTAACATACACTCAATCTCCAGGCTTAAAACACTGAACTGCATGGTCTAATCCTCTAGCTCTAGTCCCAAAACCACTTTTATTTATTTCATTCAACAGTTTCCCTAGAGCTACTATGTATTGCCTCAAACATTCTTCTCCCTTGTACTGGATTTGATAAGGCCTTCTGTATAACATTTCAGACAGGCTTGGGCCTTCCTTAACTGTGGTTTAACTCTGATCCTAAATAGGGCAAGTGGTAATGCCTGATCCCACCTCAGATTAGCCTCCTGACCAATCTTTGCCAATCGCTGTTGGATTAAATGATTCATCTTTCCCATCTGCCCCACTGGCCTGGGGATGGTGGGGAGTAGGCAGTGCAACTGCAGTCTATCCCCAGAGCTTTACTGCTCACTGTACCACTGACAAGGGTGAACTTGGGCTTTACTGTATTGTCCCCCCAGCTCCAAATCTGAAAGTGCTTCCAATTAGTCAGATTATTCTGCCACTCCTACCCTCAGCTTTGGTCTGCCCTAAAGAGTCCCAGACAACCTTCCTGCTGGCAACTTGGTAATTATAACTGCCTGGCACCTTCTACAAAGGGGATTAAGGGGCAGGATAGCAATATATCCAGACAGAAATCACAATACACACTATACCAAGTCCAAACACAAGTCTGTAAGCTGACAATCCCGATTTGGAAGAACAAATGACGATCAGAACCCTATATAAAGTACCCGATGTGTATCTCTAAGGCACGAGCAGCCCGACACGCTTCGTCCAGCGCTTTGTATGTAACGACTTAGGGCCAATAACCCAGAGTCTGGTCTTTTAACCAAACCACAAAAGGAATGTTCTTACCTGTGGCCAGGACCTTTCTGCTCCTGCAATGATCCAGTGGCTGAGGGGAGCTTTGACGGAGGAATCTCCAGGGGCGCCCTGAAAGCATCCCTCTCACCAAGGGGTCTCACAGAGGGATCCGAGTTGATCAGCACCAGCTGAAACAAAGAAATCACACCCCAAGACACGGTGTCGTTTGGATGAAACATTCCTTTAATTCGTCGTGACGGGAAAACAGGGAATCATTCACCATACATGCTCACCGAAATACAGTTCCCTCGGCTATTTATACACTGTAACATTCAAAGTTGCTTCCCAGAAAACTACCCACCTTATCACGGCAGTCTATACTCCAGTTTCTCCTAACTTGTCTTTCGTGGAACAAGGCCGCCATCTAGTGTCTCTTCTTTGCCCATCAAATCCCTGCCAATCTCAGCTGATTGTCTTTACCCACTGTAAGACACACCTATCATTAGTTAAAATATAACCTCATGTTATCTTCTACTTAAACAATCCTTTATTGAATTTAATTCCTAAGAAAACAACTTTTATTGGTTGCATCTTTTGAAGTATATGATTCATTTGGTTAACGTCCTTCAGGTGGACTATTCAGCTGTTTTCAATTATCTCAGCTTCTCTTACCTATATTTTATGACACTAGACTGATTATAGGTTTAAGAGAAAAACAGCCAAAACGGCAAAGTTCAGGAAACCATATATTTTTGTTGATTAAAGTACAGCTCCTCTTCTAAGGTCAGAGACCACTAAATTCTTAATTCCTAAGCTAATTGAGGTAGAGATGTTGCTCCTTTGACTCCCACAAGAGCTGGACTCAGTGATACCTGTGGGTCCCTTCCAACTCAGAATATTCTGCAAAATACCATTAAAAGGTATTTAACTAAATTATTTTTAAGAACAAGCCAAAAACCCCTGTTCTGATCTGCTTAGATGAGGAGGGGAACCAGGTTCTAAAACACTCCTATAAGCAGGGTTAAGACACAAACGAGGCCAGATGCTGGATTCCAAAAAGGATAATTCAACTTTATTTTGTAACACAGAGAGAAAGAAGAGAGATAGAAAGGTTGGAAAAGCTCAGGGTGACTGTTAAAAGCACAGGACAGGAGTTACAACCACCATGAAGTGCCACTGGTGTGCTGCCCTAAATACCCTCCTCATGACACCCCCTGAGTGCCCACTGGCCAGTTCACCAGTATCCAAGCAAAGTTTGCCTGGGACCAAGACGGGCCTGAGTGTCCATTGGCTGGACCACAGTATCCAAGCAAGATTTGCCTGACAAACCTTATTTGGGAGGGTAAGTCCTTGCCGTGTTCTTGATTGTAACAACTTCTTTTCCAAGGACCCTCTTTAATGCTGGGCTACCTGGTCACTCGCCAGGGACCTCCTGGAGCTTTTGCAAACAGCTCAGCTGCTCCATCAAGGCTTTTTAGCTCTGTGCTGGAGGCAATGGTGAAGCAGACTCCATCTTTTAATCATTTCATTACAACCCCTTACCTGTTAGGTACCTTTGCAGTGGCTCTGAGATTTGTGGCACTGCAATGAGAAGTAAGAAACTTTACTCTTCTGCAAGTGTGACTTGCAGAAGGATGTTAACACACTTAAAAAACAAACAAAACAAAACAAAAACTTATCAGTTTTGTATTTTGTTTGGGTTTTCTTTGTTTGTTCTTGTTTTTATTATTATTATTATTTATTCCTTCTCATCTACTTCTAATGAGAAGTTTTAGCTGGACTGAAGTTAGACAGACAGTGGATTAAAGAACGGATTAGGAAGTGCTCCAGGACAGACATCTGGTGTATACACAGGTGAAAAAGCCCTCCTGAGGTAAACATGATATCATGGGCCCTAACAATCTACAGGATCAAAAGAATTAACTGGTGTTAATAAGTAAGAGAGGGCCACAATAATCAGGTTGAGTATTTATTACAGAACAATTTATTAGTCCTAACAGAACAAAGATGCTTTCCTTACATATTCTTTTCCATCAAGTATTGTTTGGAAATCTATACTGATTCCCTAAGTTCAGAACTATGGACCATTCAGTGAGAAATACAACTCCATGCCTTCATCACTTAGAGGTGCTTTTAGTCCAGGGTTCACATAACCACAGTGCATCTCACTCAGTTAGGGAGGATATCCTTATCAGATGTATTCCTGTTGGGCTCAGATCTCAGCTACTTCATTTGAAAATAAGTTTTTTCAGCGTTCACAAGTTCAGCTGAGTTAAAGAAGCTATCAAAGGTCAGTCTTACCTGGAAAGAGGGTTCAGTTCACCATTTAAACCAGAGACCAGTGAAACCAACGACTTGGTTTTGGAGATCTGAAAATGTATATGCAAGACTGCAGTTAAAAGAAGTGGCATTTGAAAGCAAAATCATAGGGATTTGAAGGAAACAATACTGTGAGAATTGAAAAAGAGCAGTTAAGCCCCACTACATATATATATATATATAAACTGGCAAATATGCATTCTAAAAAGAATTTCATGCTGTCAAAATGTATTCATATTCGTACAACCAACCACCTGTCATATATACACCTTCCAGTCTAAAAAATAGTGTTTATCCAACAAGGGGAAGTCAAAGGATTTTGCCCAGTAAATAAATATTATGTTACAAAAGCACATGAAAGCAAGTGACAGAAGTGTGACTGACTAAACACCAATTAATTTTTGCATGAGCATCTGGATTTCTCCCAGCAGATGACCCCAAAAATTTAGGTAATGTTCATAACTGCACCGTGGCTGGCTCTCTAGCCTTTCAATATCATCTTCTATTTAAACACACAGCCAAACAAAATATTTTGTCTGAAATATTTACAGCAGGAAGAGAAGAATTCTATTCTGTAAATTATGATAAAATTTGAGAACACACACTTACCACTGCCACAGCAAGAGCCGCTTCCTTTCCTGCTTGCAAATCTGCAACTCAAGAAAGTGTAACTTGTTTGGATACTATTACTTGGATAATTTTTATCCTCAAGTTCTTATCTTAAGGCCTTGTAGATGAATAAGTAATTCAGGATTACAGTGACTTAAATAGTTAACCTTAGTTAGCATATATGTTGCATTTTTTGTAGTCATCCTACAAAACAATGAAAATTTCAGTATGTTTAATCTTGCAAAGGACACTGAATGTAGTCACACAGTATATAACTTAAATTCAAAGAAGAACCACACAGACACATTGTATTGCAGAAATCTAATGCCTTTAGCCAGAAGTACTCAGGTTACAGTAAACTTAAGTTATTCCAGAGTCTTAGGTCTGATATTTGCATGGCACCTGCAATTTCCAGCTACAAGGTAGCTTTCAAAAACATCAGTTCTCACCAGAATATACGTCTGGGGCTGAGTGTACACCACATCTTAAACTGGTGCACACATGGGAGTTAAAATTCAACTTATTTGCTCACCATCACAGGTAAATGACTAGCTGAGAAAGGCTCAGTAGTAAAAGGCTTCAAAGTGACAAAAACTAAAAAGAAAAATCTCTGTGGTCAGGATGAACAGATTCAAATAGACAGAAGTCCTTATGTTTTTATGCACAGAAAGCACTAGGTCTGTAATTATTCCTTGTCTCTTCAGACTTCAAATACGACTTTAGAGCATAAGTAGAAAAAGCTCCAGACTATACACTGTTACCTACTAACTCTATACCCTGCATTACACAGATCAGCCGACTTGAACAAGAGTGCTTACTGATCATCTGCAGGGTAACAGCTCAGCTGATTACCTTAAAATACTCAGCTGACAAAGCAAACTTGTACATAAAAGTCCCCGAGTACACAGGTTTTCTCACACCAGTCACAGACACGTCCTTCCCTAACCCTGTCTGCATCCCTCGAAAGGACTGGGCCACGCACACTTACCGAGGAAGTCTTTCCTTTTCCTGATGGCAGCCAGCATCGTCAGCAGCTCCACTGCAAACGCCTTCTCAGCTGTTTGCAACAGCGAATCGAGCTCTTTCTTCATCCCCTGGAATGGGATCCTCCTTGGCTTCAAAACAAAATAGGCTTTTATTGCCATGCGTGTTACATGTTTTCAAGTATAAGCGTTGGAAGATCGCATTATAAAAGGAAATTAAAACAACGTTTTATCCGGAGAAATCCGACCTGGGAGTCGGAGTGCCTGCTACCAGCCACTCCTCTGGGGGCGAGGACCGCGGTGCCGGCGGCGCTGCCCGAGGGCGCGTTCCCGGCCAGGGGCTCTTCCCACCGGGAGCCGCTGTTCCTCCACCCATCCCGGGCAGGGGAGCGCCTCCCCCCGGTCAGCCCCGCCGTTCCCGGCCATACCCTGCTGGTCGAAGTCGCTGAGGAAGAGCGCGATGCGCTGATCCTTCTTCTCCTGGGACAGCCCCGGCCGCTGGTCCCGTTCCTGGGGCAGCGCCCCGCAGTCCGGCTCCACGTCCCAGTCCGAGCGCTGCCGCTTGACCAGGGGCTTCCACAGAGGCTTGGCGACCATCCCACGGGGAACCGAGCCCGGGACCGCGGGGAAAGAGGGGAATCCTCCCTCCCTCCCTCCGCCCCCGCCCGCGGGCCGGGAGGACACACCTCGGGGAGGGGATGGGGCGGCCCGGGAAGCGCCGGGGCGGGAGCCGAGGGTACCCTAGGGTTTCCCCGGCTCCTGTCGGAAGGGAGAGCAGAGGAAGGTGGGGATCTATGGGTACCTCGTCTCGGGAGTGCCCGAGGGATGGGCAGAGCAGCACAAAGCCTATCCTCTGCTACCCTGTCCTATCCTATCCTAACCTTATCCTATCCTGTCCTAATCCTATCCTATCCTATCCTGTAGTGATAGGACAAGGAGTAACAGGTAGAAGCTGAAAGAGGGGAAAATTAACTTAGATATTATAGAGAACTTTTTTGCTGTGAGGGTGGTGAGGTGCTGGCACAGGTTGCCCAGGGAGGTTGTGGATGCCGCAATCCTGACACTGCTCAAGGCCGTGTTGGAAAAGGCCTTGAGCAACCTGGTCTAGTGGAAGGTGTCCCTGCCCATGGCTGGGGGCTGAGACTAGATGGTCTTTAAGGTCCCTTCCAACCCCTCAACATCCTATGATTCTATGACCATCATGTCCTGACAGGAGCTGGGCAGGCTCACACGTACACACACACACACACACACACACACACAACTTCGTCCTGAACAAATTAACTCTGCTGTTTCATTACTTGTTTGAAGCAGCCACTGCAAAACTAGGAACACGAGGAGTGAACATTTCCAGGGCTTGAACAGGTTCTGGGAAACCTTTCTGCCCCATAGCAGAAACTTTCTGCCCTATTTCAGAGGTGAGGTTTGGGTTTAGCTACCTTACTGCTGTTCAGCGTGCAGAATATGCAGGGCTTCAAAGCTTCAAAGCTAGCAAAGTGAATAAGCTGTTCTACCTCATGCAAATCATTACAGGTTGTTCAAATTCTAATCATGACAACACAGGATTTAATAAACGTGTAATAAAATGGAATGTTAGAAAGGCATGGCTACAACTAATATTCAATATTCAAATCCGTATCCATAAAAGTAGAATTCCTTGAAGAAACTTATCTTACCTGCATCCAAATAAAAAAATCATACCAGAGGAATGATTCTCTTTGGTTTTGTACAAATTTGACCAAGGAAGTGTATAAAAAGGAATTCAGACAATATTTTAAAATGCTAGTGGTTTTCATACAGTGTATATAGTTCATGCTGCAAGCTCTCTGTAGTAGCTTTTTCTGCATCATATGCATCTGGCACAGTACCCTTATCTCCTGAGCCAGATGGGACAGCCTATGTCACTGAAAAAAAGGCTATAAAAAAATCTGACAATTCATAATATAAGTATCTTATATCAGACCATGTTCTTGTTTGTAAAACAAACAACATACCTCTGCCGGCCCCCCACCAAAAAAAAAGGAGGTAAATGTTTCTGTTCTAGAAAACATTTAAATACCTGGTACAAAGAAGATCCTGCTTTAGGGGCATGTATGTTTAGGGAAGCAGGACTAACTTCCATTTCCCTAAACTTCATTTTCTTTGGAATTACCTAACAAACACACTAAAGTAATTGAGGTGTCACTGCAAGACTGTGTTGCTCTGTAAATTTAATCTCATATAAACCATGTAAGAAAGTTTGTGGGTTTTTTAAATGTGAACAACCAACATTAACAAACAAACACCTCACCAAAGCTTTTATGACACAGTTGATCAGCCTCAACTGATTGGTTGATCCTCTCTATGAAGAAAAATGTTTGGCTTGTCTAACTCCTGGTTACAACCCCTTACACTGTATGATTAATTATGAGCATAAACTGGCCCAAGACCATCTCTACTTACAATTCTGCAAGAGTAGGAATTAGTTTTGTGGTAACAAGTTGGACAAATTTCAAGTCCATAAATTGAAGTGATGCAGAGATTAATGATCTGGTACATGGATGCTAAATAGTAGTAAATACTGGTTTGAACAGGAGGTTAGTGTGTCATAGTGCAATCCAGCTGGTGTTGCTTCAGTGACATAGGAAATGGAGAACTATTACCCTTTTTTTAACATCTCCTTTATTATTTGGAAGTCTCGTACATCTGAAGTACTGTTATAAGGAGCACCTGTAGGAAGATCAAACCTAGAAGCATGCATCTGAAAGTAAGGATTGTCTGTTATTAATGAAAGATTTCAAAGACATGGAAAATTAGCCTCTTTTCTTAGCTTTACAGCATTGTTCCACAAAAATGCACATTAACCTTATCACAATACATACAAATATTGTGGATGGACAATAGAAATCACCACCCTTCCACATGAGATGCATCAAGAACAAATTGTTATCCCTTATAATGTCACAAACATAAAAGGCACCATAATAGAATGTTTAGAAAAAACTCAGTTTATGTCATTATATTTTGATTTAAAAGTATAAGAATTGCTGTCCTGACTTAAAACAAAAAGCCTTTCACACCTGTAAATTATCATTAGAAACTTGTAAACCTTTACATTTTTTTCCAGAAGTATCAGGTGCAAATGCAAGGCAAATATAAAATCTATTGACTTATTAGATTACAAATACTACCCCATGAAAAAGCTGTAGTTACAAAAATATAAAAAAATATTCTAACACCCATTGTTAGATCTTAGCTTCAATCTACGCTGTGTTATGAGTCCAAAGCCAGATCTCACTTGGACACATTCCCAGAATAGGAAAGTGCTGTTTGTCTTATTTTCACATCAATATTCTGATCTCCTACTACAGTTTTGATTTCTGAATTTGTTTTATTAGTGCATATTAAGGATGCCAACAGATAAAAGGTTGTATTTATCAACGGATAGTAGCAGCATAAGTATTCTCAGTCTGCTGTCCTCCCACAAGTGCATTTCTCCAAGGATAAAAGTATGATTTTTTTTCTCTCCAAGCCTCCACAGTAACTCTTTAGCAGCATGACATTTTCTTTCAAGAACCTGGGACCACTGGCAGGTAATTGAGAACTAAATTCTCTCACAGACTTCAGCAAGGAACTGGGAGGAGTACAGCTAATGCTGTGTCATAGACTGGTGGTTGCTGTTGCAAGGACAGTTACTGGCAACACCGCTTGTCTTCCACACATCATAAATTGGCACAGGTTTAGCCATACGGTGATTCTGTAGCCCTTGGATTTAGTAACTTGTATCGGCATAGGATGTTGAACCAGCTACAAAGGCAGCCTAACAAAGTGCTAATAGACATGAAAATGAGTTTACTTCTATATGGTGAACTTAAAATTCACTACTAGATTAAATGTGATATCCTTAATGAATAAACTCTGTAAACGCTGAGGCGAAGCCTGACAAATGCTAATGCTTTCACGTCTGAATACTGGAAGCTCTGTTCCTTTAGCCCTTTATCAGAGCCAGCAGGAGGTGTCCAGCTTCCAGCTCTAGAGAAAAAGAAGCTGTCCTTTGTTTTGCAGGGAAACTGGCACAGATCAGTGGAGTCATACAGCTGCACTCCTACATAGCAACCTTGTTGAGCTGGGCTTTAATAAGCACTCAGGGTCATTCAGCCAGTGGAAGATTTAAGTGTCAGCTGTACTACCATTCTCTTTATGCTTGGTGCAAGACATTTTCCTTTAAACACCTTTTCCTTCATTAGAAATCCCCCTCAGCATTTCCCCTGGTAACAACATGTGTTAGTCTTTGCCAGTTCAAGCTGGATTTGGGCCACACCGTGAGTCTCTGACGTGATTCCAAACAAACGTTCTCCATAGACAGAGCGGTTCTGGAAGTGTGTTGTGTCTTACCCTACTTCAAAAGATTGACTGTGCTCACATCTGCTTTGAAACAATACCTTACTATGTTCCACGTGTATAAAAGATGAGAGTTAACAGGAGACTCGTGGAATTGTAATGAGAGGAAATGTTCAGCACTCTTGTGCTGGGATTTTGTGTTGAACAGCACGTGAAGAAGAAGAAAATATTCCTCATTATGTTTCAGTTTCAAAAAAATAGGGTCCAAGCAGACACCACATTCACTCCTCTGATCAAAACTGTATATTCCATCCTGATTATGCTATGATGGCAGGATTTCTTTTCAGCAGAATTCCTAAGGTATCTGCACACATGTGCCAAAGGTTTTTTAATAAGCATGATGTACCTACATCATGCTTAATCAGATCTGGAGAACATTTCACACTTAACAACAACAACAAAAATTAAACCAAATAATACCTATAATGTAGGAGTTTGAATTTTTGTTCAGTAGAATTTTAGGATGGGACATTTTCCTAGCTAAACTATTGATCTTTGCGTTTCTGTTCTGTAAAAAAACACCACATAACAGTAATAATTTTAGTGAGCAATTCCCTTTCTCAACCTATTGAGTCAAAAATTCACAATGTAATTTCCAATCAAGGCACAAAAACATTTACTGACTCTTTCTTCTCACCAATTCCTTCACATTCTTCCCCTTCCCCTTAAAAATCAAGTTTATGTAACAATGTCTTCTATACCAGACATTAACATTAACTTTAACAGTCCAATAAGTTGTAGCAGTATCTGAGACTGGTTCTATTTTGAATTTAGGTAAATTAGATGAACAGCACATTCTCAGCACATCTTTGTTCATTGTCTTCATTTGCCTTGAAGGGGAGGGGACGAGGGAGGAAAAGCCACAGTAGTTTCAT